CGGTGCTATACTGCACCCTGACTGGCTCATCTCTTTCTTGTGACCCTTCTGTGAGGGGATGTCCAATTGTCTACAGATGGGCTTTGGGTCTCCACTCCACACACCCCTCATTCACATCAATATGATTCTTTGTTTTGGGACTTCTGATGTCTGATACCTGATCCTGTTAACACCTCACGATCACACAGGCAGGTGTCTTTCTTCCATGTGGGCTTTGTTGCTTCCCAGCTAGATGGCCACTTGTGTATCTTCAAGCAGTTAAGACCCCAGATGCTATATCTTTTGATAGCCAGGCACCATCAACTTTCTTCATCACATTTGCTTTCAGTGATCGTGTTGGGAAGGTGAGCATCACAGAATGCCAGGTTATTAGAATAAAGTGTTCTTTTGTTGAGGAAGTACTTGAGTAGCGGCCTAATGTCCGTCTGGTACCTTAATACTTAACATATAAAATATATGTACATAGATCTGTGACCCTTTCATTATATATAAATATATTTACATATGTACATGCCTGTTTTTAGACCTCTATGAATGCCTTTGGCTCCTAGTTCTTTCCTCTATTTCCTTTACTTTTCTCTTGTCCCACGATCATGTTCGTCCTTCACTTGGTTTTCAGTAATTCCTCTCAGCTACATTGCATTTGATCAAACCCCACCAGGCATCCGATGCTCTCTTCACCATCGATTAAATCACTTCTTGTTCCCTTATCCCTGGGTTTGTTGGCTCCCCGCTGCCTTTTCCCCATCTCCCCCTCTCCCATGTCCCTCTGGAACCACTGGTCCCATTGTTTTCTCCTCAGGATTGTTTATTCTGCCTATCTTATATAGATGGACATTGGGAAAAAAAAGAGAGAAAAGCCTATAAATAGATCCAGGTCTGTCTGTTGACCTTTATGAATGTTTTCTAATCAAGTCTGATGAGGTGTCAAGCCCTGCCCCCAGAAGTCTATTATTGAGATTCCTTGGGGACTCCATTGCTTTGCTCCCCATGCTGCTCTGTTGCACTCCATTCATGGTTCACCCCCTTGTGGGGGTGGGAGTGGGGTGCCAGACTGGGCACAATTCCTGCACTATATCTCCAGTGTTGTCCCTGTAGC